TCCAGGATCAATGTGCGACCATGGACCATTGTTAAGAAAGAATTGTATGCAAATTGAAAAGGTGGTGTTTCTTTATTTTTATCTGTATTCAGAAATAGCATGCTTTATTAAGCCACTTCAATTCCTTTTAACTCGATTTTTTATAACAGTTGGATAATCAGATGAAATTTAAACTGATGCATGCTTCCTAGCTATTTGTAACATATCCATAATCCTGGGACTTGAGCATAGATCTAAATATCTCCATCTTTAACACACTCTTCTCAAAACTTATCAAAAGAGGAGGTCCATAAAAATTGTCTGATATTAATGATTTTGGTTATGGAAATGGAATGAATTGTTTATCAAATTATACTGCTCAATATTTATGAGACTCCTCACTCTACTGCATCATGTATATTGGTAAAAGTAAAATAAAAAACTGCACACTGATATGAGTTCATGGTGTGTTACAATCTACAGTTGGAAAAAAAGAATAAGGAACTGAAAAGGCAACCAGAAGTTGCTCATTCTCGTATTGATGATTTACTTAGAGCTATTGAAAGTGACAAAACTTCAGACAAACTCGATGAATCTCTGTCCGTCAACGGAAGCTTCAGATGCAACGGGAAATCGGGAATTCTGCATTCAGAAAACAGTGACGATGCTTATTCATCAGAAGCCATATCCGATCCAAGCCAAGAAGTCGAAAGACCTTTTGCGGAAGATTCTGATGAAATCTGCAAGGAGGTTGTGTGTATTGAGAATGGGAAATCTGATAACAACAGAACATTCGAGTCATTACGTGAGTCAGTTATCGAGAGTGAAACTAACATACCAATATCTTCCGAGTTTTCAGATGGCCATGTCATGGCTTCACCCGGACAAGTTAGTGCCACTGCTAATAATCACTCTTACAGTTTGTTGGAGCAGAAGACTATAGATTCTCTTTCAAGACATCAGCATGATGCATTTTCTCCATGTGCATCATCAACTAGTGGGACATATTTTGGGAGCTTAAAATTGAGTAGAATTAGAAGCTGTAGAGCTGGTTTGATGACCGTCTCGTCTGACTGTGAGACGGCTGGACAAAGTGAAAGCACGCCTTCAGCCGTATCGGAGGAAGGTTTTACAAGAAGATCGGAAGGCATTTTCAAGAGGAAGCAATGGAAGCTTCCACCAGTTATGTACGGTGCAAATAGTGAGAAGCTGTCCGTATATGATTCAGAATCCTCCGATTTGACTAGCTTTGTCGATGAGATAAAGAATGAAATCTCCAGCAATGGGGATGAGGATATCCCTACTCTTGGTTCTTTTTTAGCCTGGTACAAGAAAAGAGGCTGGTTATATCTTTTTTTTTTTTTTTTTACCATACAGAAGAGAAAATAATTGTCAATGGATAATGACTAGAGAGGCTGTTCTTGGGATTTAGCCTGGTACAAGAAAAGGAAATATTAAAAAAAAAAGTCTGTCTTTCATAGCTAATAAATACTTCTCCAGAGTTACTAAAAACTCTCTTGAGATCCCACATTTTCTTCACAAATAAAGAAGTTTGTTGTTCATAGCTGACATTTATCTTAGTTTCTCTCATTTTATTTAATATGTTAATGTAATTTAAACAAACCTCAAGGATAACTTTTGTATTCAAACCTTTTTCTAATCTCTTTCATTATCGACTCTCTCGTTGGGGCCATTTTATAATTTGTAATTTGTTTGATGGAGAAACCTACTAATGACTCACGGTATATGCTATTAAGGTTCAGGAGACGGAGAGGACAAAAGAAAACAATGCCAGAGATGTGGCTTTTGATACAATGAATTCTCCACCAAAGTTCGAGAAGTTGCAGAAACTGATGATAATTGAGCTGTGGCAAGCTTGCAATGTGTCACTAGTACACAGGACATATTTCATCCTCATTATTAAAGATGACCCAGCAGATTCGTTTTACATGGAAGTTGAACGTAGGAGATTATCTTTTCTCAATGAAACATTCTCAAGGGGCAATTGCACTGTACAAGCTGGCCGTACTTTTACGCTGGCATCAAGGTATCATCATACTTCATTAAAACTCTCTACACCCTTTTTTTTCTTCTTAGTTCTTCCTTGATGTGAATAGTGTGCTACCATTTCCAAAATTTTGGAAATGCTGTAATTTTCATTGGCTCGAGTGCGTAGGAGAGACTTCGCACATTAGAATTAAGCTTGGAAGGAGACAATAGAAAATGATTTAAAATATTCAAATTTGAAGGAGGATATGTGTTTTGATGAGCACGATGGCGGCATGGGATCCATATAACCGACCCCACTTAGTGTTATTTCAACGGCTTGTTGATCGATTGATTTTGATTGATTGAATGAAATGTCGAAACCAGTTCACGTTAATTACAAAGAAGTCCCTTAATAGTTTGAATTTGTTTCTCAAACTACTACCCTTAACAATATGCAATTTCAAGTTGTACTATAGAAAATAGAAACAAAGCAGCAAGGAGATAATCGTAATGGACAAATTTCCCTTCTTTTCATGATTTTCGCTGGATTAGAGGAGCACACATTTCCTTAAATTCCCGCTCTGTGTTCTGATTGGTTGGATGATCTAAGTGTAATTATAACTGCCGCGTGTTTCGCATTTTTGTGTAAATTTCACTTGGACCGAGTTTGAACTAATTTTCACTCGCTTGGTTTTTCTCGAGCTATAACAAACAGCGAGAGAGCCCTCCGAAGGGAGAGGGAGACACTGAGCAAGCTAATATATAAAAGATACAAAGAAGAAGGTGAAAGGCACAAGCTTTACAATGAATGGGGCATCAGCTTGAACTCTAAAAAGAGAAGGTTGCAACTGGTCAACCTTTTATGGACCGACACTGAAAATATGGACCACATTCGGAAAAGTGCCGCTATTGTTGCTAAGCTCATTGGGCTTCTCGGAGCACGGTCGAGCAGTCGATGAGATGCTTGGACTTAGCTTCATGCCTCCACGTGGCATGATCAGAAAATCATTTGGCTGGAAATATAGCATGGCCTCCATTTATTGAGGTTTTACAAGCTCGAAGATAAGTACACTGTAAGTGATCAAATGATCACAAGTTCAGAAATCAACCTAGCACAGCAAATCTAGGTGATAACCAACCGAGGCCAATAACACGTTGTTGTCCCTTACAAGCCTCTGTGGTAGCAAACTCAAGGAACTTATACAGCATAAAAACTGTGGAGATGAACATAAAGACTCTTCACCTGCAGTTTTGTGTATATTTACTATTGAAAATTTTGAGAACATTGATATGCTTTGCGTATAGTTTCAACTGAAAATTTTGTATGTGATGTGTTCCTTTTTGTGTTAGTTTAATAACATATAATATACTAATAAATAGATTTTTGAATTATGCATATTTTTAGTTTATTAAGGATAATTTTTGTAACCATTATATTTATCAACAATTGAACAAACAAATGCATGGTTTGATTGATTTATATTAAAGATTACGTTGAGATTTTCCATATAACCACTAATTACAGATCCCTACACATGATAAACAATCGATGTTTACTTAAAGACTTTACTGACTCAAACTCTTTAATCTTATCAGTCGCCCAAAAACCTATAAAAGATCTGATGGCGTTCTCCACTGTTCGGACAGCTTTCTCTTCTACGACGACCGCCCCCCTATCTTCTGCTTTGATCTGTCGGAAAACGATGAAACATTTTTCGACATTGTTCAGGTTTTCGTCTAGCCTGTTGAGTGCCAGATCTTACAACTCCCTTTCCACCAGAAAATCACTGACTAAAACCTTATCATCATCAATCAACCATGGTGCTATAACGAAAAGTATCCATACTAGTGTTCCGCCAAAAACCGCACCGTGGCTATCGAAAACCTCTCCCTGGCTTATGCTGCCGCCAGCCTTCACCAGAGAGGGTGAGATGATTTATCAGTTTTACGTCCTTGGCGAGAACCGAGTGATGACTCTCCGAAGGGCCGGAGACCAAGAATTTTGGGCAGACGACGATTATAGCATCCTTGGATCATCGCACGGCTGGCTTTTCTTGTTCCACAAGAAAAGTTGCGACCTTATCCTCACCAATCCCCTTTACGGCCGCCACGTAAGGCTTCCATCCATCCGCACATTGCCGGATATTACGAAAAGGCACTTGGACCGTGGCTTCAGGTCCCTGCATGACGTAATCATCTCCAGCTCTAGCCCCGATGATGACGACGAATGTCGCGCGCTCGTCACTTTCGGCCCTGGCCAAAGACTGGCTTTCTGCTGCCCCAACAGCAGCAGCGTCCCTTTGGAGTGGACTCTGCTAGGCGACAAGACACACTACGATGCATGTGTTTACTCCGCCAAACAAAAGCTCTTCTTCTGTTTCAGAGATGGATATTTTGATAAGGATCGTCGTCTGGAGGCTTGGGACCTCAGAGACCCTCATTCTCCAAGGATGATTCCCATGCCTCTGTCTTTTGATAAGAACAACTACCCCATTGCCTACAGATCAGAGCAAGAGTACAAACGAAAAGATCATCGCCAAATATACGACGCCATACTCCTAGCAGTTGCCGAGCCAACGGGCCAGCTTTTTCATGTGAGGCGGTTTACCATGGACTGGGTGGGGCCCGATGGCTACTACACCAAGGATGAGTATTATGGGCCCAAGATAGGGATCTACACCAATCCTCCGTACACGACAGTTGGTTTCGATGTTCACAGATACGACCCGGAGACTGGCTCCTTGGTTTACATGGACCGCTCTCTGGATGGGCTGGCCCTTTTCATTGGCTCCAATAATGGGTTTGGGCTCCCAGCTGCGGACTACCCCGAGCTGAAGCCCGACGCCATTTACTACACAGAACCCCCAAGCTGGCGCTATGGTGGCCATCATGTTGATGTCTATAATTATGATGCTGGCATCTTCAATTACAGAGACGAGACGTTTGCGCCCTGCTTCTATCCTGTTGATGTGCAGAGCAGCGTACGGGTTAGTGGACCAAAGTGGTTCACCCCTACCCCGCTCGTTAAGTTCCCGTTTCTCGTGCAGAATGATGACGGCACGTTGTCGTACGGATCCTCTTGTTCCAGTATCCCACCAACCAAAGACCATTCCCAAAACTAGGAAATCAAACTCATGTTTTGTTTTGGTTGTTTGAGATTACTTAGCTCATGACTGTTATTTAGTTTGTTAGCATTTGCATTAGTAAAATGTCATGAATTATTTGGTTATTTCCAAGACTTTGTTTTAGATGCCTAGCGAGTTCCTCACTATAATAGTGAATTCTTTGGTTATTTGACTATTTTTATTATTATTATTATTATTTTTAAAAATTTGTGTGCGGGCATATATAAAAGTGAGAGATGTACACAAAAAAGATAGTTTGATTGAAAATTAATATTAACTTAATTTAAATTGACCATGTTATTGTTAATGGAATAAGCTCATGTAGTACATCTTTGTTTTTGAATAAAAATAAATAAAAATTAGGATAAAAGGCATACTATAATATCGGTAAATGCTAGTAGTTATAAACTTTATAGGATAAATGATCCAACGGTTAAAAAATCCCAAATGGAATAGTTCTGTAACGAGGGACCGGCATTTTCCAAACTTATGTACAAAGAATAATACTATTACCCTTAAACTTGTATAGTTATAAGAAAGTAATATATGAACAATACTACTGATAACGATGATATCATTTATTTAGGAATAAAATGAATTGATAGGCACGATCACTACCAATATTATTCTCTTTGGACTCCTACGGTTATAAAGGAACATGATATATATCATTAAGGAATCAAATCAATGAATAATAGATAACTACTACTATAAGATACTGTTTTTATGAAACGTTTACTAATTACTTGCATCACAAGAAGACTTTAACCTGCATCCATTAGATTAGATTGAAATTAAAAAAAAAAATTCAAATATCCAATAGAGAGAGCAGCCATGGTTTTACTTGCAGCAGCAGCAGCAGCACTTAACATGATGGGTACGAAATCCTACAGTACTGGTTTGACATTCAATTCATTTCCTCGATATGGTCGTAAGTTGATGAGTACGATGATTAATGCTGTTAATGTGCCGACGACGACGACGACAACCAAAAGGTCGTCATCATCTTCCAGTACGTCTCCTCCTTGGCTGATGCTGCCACCTGTTTTCCAATGCATGACGAATAACAAGAAACAGAAGTTGTACGAGTTTTACAGCCTGGGCTTGGACAGAGTATTAAGTGTCCCCAACAACAACAAGAGATCAATGCCAATACCATCTGATGACGATGATAATGATGATGATGATGATGATTTGGACATTGTGGGATCGTCCCGGGGCTGGTTTGCTCTCTTTAAAAATTATTATGACCTCTTCCTCTCCAATCCTCTCACTGGACGTCACATAAAGCTTCCATCCCTCCACCCATTGTCCCCCGAAGAATTAATAGATGTACGCAACGTTGTCATCTCATCCGACGACCCGTTTGAACAAGACTGCCGAGTCTTGATCTCTTGCACTCCAGGTGATAGATTGGCCTTCTGCTGCCCTGCCCACACCAACCCCGAGTGGATCCGAATCGGCCACCCTTCCACCTCATTTCAATTCGAGTCCTTAACGTATTCGAGCAGGCAGGAGCTCTTCTTTTGCGCCAAAGGGCCGCCTGGTAGGACCGACCACATCGAGGCTTGGGACCTCCGTGACCCTCTTTCCCCCAGAATGGTTCCCCTGGCTCCTGTGACCGTGGACAAACGCAATTACCCGGTCGCATCCCACTCGGAGTTAGAGTCGGAACTCAAGTATCTATGCGAGTACGATGCCGTGTTCCTCGTGCTTTCCGAGCATACGGATGAGCTTTTCCAAGTGCAGCAGTACGTGTTGCACCGAATGGGACCTGATGGCTCATTTGCCGATCATGTCTATTACGAGGGGGATTCGGATGAAAGCGTGTCGTACAAGACGGTTGGGTTTGATGTTCACAAGTATGAACCAAAGACGGGAAAAATGGTTTATATGGATCGTAACTTGGGCGGGTTGGCACTATTCGTAGGCCCCCATGAAGGCTTTGCTCTCCCTGCTGACGAGTACCAAGGGTTGAAGCCCAACTCCATTTACTACACCGACATGTATAATTCACCACATTACAAGCATGGTGGCCATGACATCGGCATATTCAACTATGAAAACGAGACTTTCTCGCCATGCTATTATCCATGCGACTTGAAGAGCATGACGACCAAGATTACGCCCAATCCTATTTGGTTTAGGCCATCCCCTTGTGCATTCATTTAGATTCTTCTCTTCATTCCTGCAGCTTTTATTCTATATAAATAATATGTCTCTAATGACAGAATTCAAAGCTTATATATGTTTCCTATCATACATCATCTTCGCTGTCTTTTGTCAAGACTAGAATCTTATGTAGTTAGGCTTTTATGCTGCTCTATAGTTTGTATTTGCTAGTTGCAGGCTTCTGTTCTGTAGAAACATTCAAAATGTACAAGTCACTTGAAAATGAAAATGTTGTTGATGCAAAAATATATGTAGTAAGAACTCAGCAGAAACTAAAGTCTAAAGCAAATAGTATGATTCTGTGAACTCAATGTGAAACTTTAATTAATTAAAACGTGCACTACTGAAAAATATCTAATGTAAACAGAAGAAACTTTTATATAAATACGATATTAAAAATAAAACAATACATAATCATTCAAAAAAAAAAAATACTGCAATTTAAGACTCAATTGCTACAAAAAAATTACAAATAAAACCATTCATAACTATAAAAAAAAAAAAAAATTAAAATATTTGTAAATTTGTAATGGGGGTGATGGATATGGCTTATGGGCTATGGGCCAGCTGCTTTATTTTTTATTTTTTATTTTTTTGGCTAATTTGATGTGGCTTTACTTCACACACATTTTCTATTTGCTCACCAAATAAACCAACCACTCAACTTAAAGATAATGTCACGGCATGTGTTAATATGTCCACCGTTTACGTGTCATGCACACATTGGTGATGTTAATATGTTTAAAAAATACATCACCAATGTGTGCATGACACAAAAGTGTTTAGCAACGTAGGTAGGGGAACATTTCTCCTCAACTCAATATTCAACA